GGGACTGGGTTCTGGTCCAGGGACTGTCAGGGACTGGGTTCTGGTCCAGGGACTGTCAGGGACTGGGTTCTGGTTTGGGGACTGGATTCTGGTCCAGGGACTGGGTTCTGGTTCAGGGAGTGGGTTCTGGGACTGGGTTCTGGTCCAGGGACCGTCAGGGACTGGGTTCTGGTTCGGGGACTGGGTTCTGGTCCAGGGACTGTCAGGGACTGGGTTCTGGTTTGGGGACTGGATTCTGGTCCAGGGACTGGGTTCTGGTTCAGGGAGTGGGTTCTGGGACTGGGTTCTGGTCCAGGGACCGTCAGGGACTGGGTTCTGGTTCGGGGACTGGGTTCTGGTCCAGGGACTGTCAGGGACTGGGTTCTGGTTTGGGGACTGGATTCTGGTCCAGGGACTGGGTTCTGGTTCAGGGACTGGGTTCTGGTCCAGGGACTGGGTTCTGGTCCAGGGACTGTCAGGGACTGGGTTCTGGTCCAGGGACTGGGTTCTGGTCCAGGGACTGACAGGGACTGGGTTCTGGTCCAGGGACTGGGTTCTGGTTCAAGGACTGGGCTCTGGTCCAGGGACTGGGTTCTGGTCCAGGGACTGACAGGGACTGGGTTCTGGTCCAGGGACTGTCAGAGACTGGGTCCTGGTCCAGGGACTGGGTTCTGGTTCAGGAACTGTCAGGGACTGGGTTCTGGTCCAGGGACTGGGTTCTGTTTCAGGGACTGTCAGAGACTGGGTTCTGGTTCAGGGACTGGGTTCTGGTTCAGGCACTGTCAGGGACTGGGTTCTGGTTCAGGGACTGGGTTCTGGTCCAGGGACTGGGTTCTGGTTCAGGGACTGGGTTCTGGTCCAGGGACTGGTTTCTGGTCCAGGGACTGGTTTCTGGTTCAGGGAATGGGTTCTGGTCCAGGGACTGGGTTCGGGTTCAGGGACTGTCAGAGACTGGGTTCTGGTCCAGGGACTGTCAGAGACTGGGTTCTGGTCCAGGGACTGTCAGAGACTGGGATCTGGTCCAGGGACTGTCAGAGACTGGGATCTGGTCCAGGGACTGTCAGAGACTGGATTCTGGTCCAGGGACTGTCATGGACTGGGTTCTGGTCCAGGGACTGGGTTCTGGTTCAGGGACTGGGTTCTGGTTCAGGGACTGTCATGGACTGGGTTCTGGTCCAGGGACTGGGTTCTGGTTCAGGGACTGGGTTCTGGTTCAGGGACTGTCAGAGACTGGGATCTGGTTCAGGGACTGTCAGAGACTGGGATCTGGTTCAGGGACTGTCAGAGACTGGGATCTGGTCCAGGGACTGTCAGCGACTGGGATCTGGTCCAGGGACTGGGATCTGGTCCAGGGACTTTCAGGGACTAGGTTCTGGTCCAGGGACTGGGTTCTGGTCCAGGGACTGTCAGGGACTGGGTTCTGGTTCAGGGACTGTCAGGGACTGGGTTCTGGTCCAGGGACTGTCAGAGACTGGGTTCTGGTCCAGGGACTGGGTTCTGGTCCAGGATGAAACAGAAAATAAACCAACAACATAAAACAGTTTTTTTTCTGTTTAGTTTTATTTCATGTTTGATCAAAGATAAAAACGTGACATTTTGTTTACTTTACTTTAGTTTAGTTAAACTAAACTAAAGTTTAGGTTAGTTTAATCTGAGGAATGTTCTGAAAGCAGCCTGAAGGGGGCGCTGTCACAACTGTACATTGTGTTATTGTGAGTCTACATGTTAACACTGATGGAAACACATCCTGTCCATATGACCTGAATGACTGACAGCTGTCACTCAGACAGAGTGAGCTGTTTAAATATTTGTCTTCAGAGACCCTTAGCCCCGCCCCCTCCAGCTGCAGAGTCAGGTGGATGACCTCTGACCCTTCAACACCACATCTAGATTTTCTCCACGTAGTTTCCAGGAAACATCCCTTCTTTTCCCCTCAAACGTCCGAACCACCATCCAGAGGGGTCTGCAAACACAACCATAAACACAACCATAAACACAACCATAAACACAAGCACAACCATAAACACAACCATAAACACAAACACAACCATAAACACAAACATAAACACAAACACAACCATAAACACAAACATAAACACAACCATAAACACAAGCACAACAATAAACACAACCATAAACACAATCATAAACACAATCAAAAAGACAACAATAAACATAAACACAAACACAACCATAAACAACCATAAACATATACAAACACAACCATAAACACAAACACAACCATAAACACAACCATTAAAACAAACACAATCATAAACACAAACATAAACATAACCATAAACACAATCAAAAAGACAACCATAAACATAAACACAAACACAACCATAAACACAACCATAAACACAAGCACAACCATAAACACAACCATAAACACAAACACAACCATAAACACAACCATAAACACAAACATAAACACAACCATAAACACAAGCACAACAATAAACACAACCATAAACACAATCAAAAAGACAACAATAAACATAAACACAAACACAACCATAAACAACCATAAACATATACAAACACAACCATAAACACAAACACAACCATAAACACAACCATTAACACAAACACAATCATAAACACAAACATAAACATAACCATAAACACAATCAAAAAGACAACCATAAACATAAACACAACCATAGACACAAACACAACCATAAACACAACCATAAACACAAACACAACCATAAACACAAACACAACCATAAGCACAACCATAAACACAAGCACAACCATAAACACAACCATAAACACAAACATAAACACAGACATAAACACAAACATAAACACAAAGACAAACACAACCATAAACACAAACACAACCATAAACACAAA